GTCTCAGGAGCTCCCAGCCTCATAGGAGCCCCTGGAAAACAGTGAGAAAGGCAGGCGCCAGGGACCCCTCAATAGGTGCCACAGCCACTCCTGGGTGGGCCAGGGGGCTACTGAGGCAGTGTTCACACAGTCTCAGTATCAGGAGCATAGAAACGCACATGTAAGGTTCACAATGGGAACAAGGAGAGCTTCAGGAGTGCCTAATGGGTACATTGGTGGTACAGAGTCAAAACCACGTCTCAGAGTGTAGTGTGTCCACAGCTAACCATGCTCAGGATGAAGAACTCTGCGTTCCGAAAACTGCCTCACTGAAAAACCAGTCTCCTCAGTGAAGTTTTCACTTACAGACACAAAGGTTTACATCTTTCACATAAGTAAAATTCAGGGTGGAAATCTCTACCACTTCATATTTCCTTCCCATCTTAATTGTAAGAATATATATTTTATCTTGACAAATTACTAGTACTTCTTTTATAAAAGGAACCAGGGGCCCAGTGCACAAATTTGTGCATTTGAAAGGAACTATGGGCTGCAAGGCTGTGGTGGGTATAGGGGTGGGTCTTGGCCCATCTTTGTGCCCCTGCTCGGCCCCTGCTCCCACTGCCTCTGTTCCATGCGCTGACACCTGCTGATGGTGCAGAGCAACTGGAGCTGGTGCAAGCAGCAAGTACAAGTGGGGCGGGTACTATCAGTGGGTGTGAGCGGTAGCTGCTGCCTCAGTTGGCCCTCAGGAGCAGGGTGAGGTGGATAAGCCCTCAGGTGCGATTGGGACCGGCAGTCACCGCTTGCACCTGATGATGGCGCCAAACGATCTGGACAGGCACTGGGCACTGGCAGCTAGTGAGAGTGGGGCTGGCACCAGCAGCAGGTGTGAGCACTGGGCAGGAGCAAAGACTTTTCAGTAACCACCAGAGTCTCGCCCCAATGACAGCGACTGGCACCCCACCTTGATCTGACACCCCTGCTCACCTGCTCCACCATCCCTCTGTGGCCCATGCCCACCATGTTCTGAACTCTGCTGCCAATGCCCATCATGTTCCACATGAGCCCTCTGGTGGTCAGCACATGTCACAGTGACCAGTTGTTGGGGTGTTCTGTTATTTGGTCTATTTGCATATTAGCCTTTTATTATATAGGATGTTTAAAAAGAAACTCTGTCCCAAAACCTTTTCCAGTGATGATCTTTGTTAACAATTCTCAACAATTTATTTTACAATATTCACAAATATTTCCAAACTATCATATAGTATGAAGAAAGCCTAGAAGCTTGAATTAAGTGCTTTGGGGCATGTCCAATAAAATAGTCTTTGAGGAATAATTAATTGCAGTCATTCTCCTTTACAATTCCTGAGGAGTAAATGCTTTATTTCCTCTGGCTTTGTTTCCTGTCTGATTTTCCAAACAGTAGTCTATAAGTAAAATTTTATAGGCATTATTAAGACATCCTCTAGTGTAAAATACTGTTTTGTTTCCTTCTAAAGAATAAAGTTTTACTATTTTAAGTAAAAAGGCAAAAAAGAATTAAATTATAATTTCTGATAGGGTTAACTCTATCAGTGATAAGTTCATATTTGCTGCTTTTCAGAATTTTGAATGAATGAAAATATGGATAAAAAAGGGAGGTTCTATAGCATGTAAACTCACAGGGTGATCTGATCATAAATTTCTCAATGGGCAGGTCATGGTAGCCACATCACAAGTCTTTAATTTACTGAAGATAGAGGGTTTTATGCCAGCCAGCATGGCTCAGTGGTTGAGTATCAACCTAGGAAACAGGAAGGAGGTCACAGGTCAATTCCGTCAGGGCACATGCCTGGATTGTGGGCTCAATCCCCAGTGTGACACACAGGAGGCAACCGATCAATGATTCTCTCTCATCATTGATGTTTCTATGTCTCTCTCCCTCTCCTTTCCTCTCTAAAATCAATTAAAATTTTTTTTTAAAAAAGAGAAGTATTTAAGAAAGTCTTTTCCATTGTTCTTGTGCATATGAGTTAAAATATCTTTGTCAGAAGTAATATCCCTGTAAGGTATAGCCACCTTTAAGAAAAAAATATAATCTTATTAAATATCCTATAATCAGATTCCTACCTTGCTTTCTCTCATCCTCATGCAAAATTCCTTAATCACAAATGCAGAAAAGAAGCGGCAAAACTATTATTCTATGGAGCACTTGAAATCTTGCTCTCTGGCATACGTTATCTGTTTGGCTCAAATAAACTCTTTTAAAAAGTCTCTATAGGTTTGGATGCTCTTATGTCGACAAAAGAAATAAGCAATGAAGTAAAACACAAATTAAAGTATTACTCTGAAAAACATAAAAAGAAATATGTGCTAATTTACTGCATTTCCCTAGTGAGTTAAAAAATCCTAAATTTAATAGAAAATGTATTACTATTATTTGGATACTGGGATACTTGCTTTATAAGTACTTGTTAAGCTGCATATCTATGCTTTCTGTACTTTCTCTTTTGTATCATATTTTAAAACAAAACAGTGATTTAAGGAAAGCAGGATTCAGTCCAAGAAGGCAGAGTAGGTGGAGGTTGCATTCACCTCCTCCCATTACTGTATCAAAACTACAACGATATTACAGCACAATCAGCCTGGAGAACCATCTGAAAACTAGCTGAACAGAAAGCTTGTATCTAAGGACACAGAGAAGAACCCATGTTGAGACTGGTAAGCGCAGAAACAAGAAACAGGCTGACCCCACACCCACATGTGGGCAGTTGAGAATCAGAGGAATTTCTCAGCTGCAAAGGCCCCCAGGGAAGTGAAGGGTCTCAACTTCATGCTGGGAAGAAAAGCCCACATAACATCTGGCTGTGAAAACCAGCAGGGATTCTGCCCTATGAGAAGGAAGGCTACTGGAAACCCAGGCATCCCATTAAAGAACTTGCACGATAGGGGAAGGTGAGGGTGATGGGGAGAGATCAACCAAAGGACTTGTATGCATGCATATAGGCCTACCCAATGGACACAGACCCAGGGGGTGAGGGCATGACTGGGGGGGATGGGAGGGACTAATGGGGGGATGAGGACACATATATATATAATAACTTAATAAAGAAAATTTAAAAATTAAAAATAAAATAAATAAAAATAAATAAATGAAATAAAAACTAAGAAAAGGAAAAAAGAACTTGCACGCAAACTGGCTCACAGGCATTCCTACTGGACTCTGGAAAAAGGCAGTGGCTTGGAGGGAGCCAGTTATACAGGAAGAGAGTCAGCTGTGTGGCTTCGGGGAAAGGCCTAGAGAGGAATACCTGCCAACGTCCCTGTGGTGAATCCCTCTCCTGCGGCACTCAAAGATGCATTCTTTCCTGGGTCAAGTACTATCCCCTCAGAGCACTAACTGTCTCCCCCACCCCCCACCCTCCGACTCCAAGGGCCCCCCAACCCTACTCACTCAAGGCTATAAGTTCTGCCAGTAGCAACTAGCCTAGGGGCCATATTGCAGTGTATCCTAAAAATCTCTCCAAGCATTCAAGCAAGCTTGGGAGGTGGGGAGTGGGGATGGAGAGAGGGAAGGGGTGCCAGAGACACACAGAAGGAAACAGAGTTGAGTAGCTTTAGGGCAAGGGCTGCCTTCCAGCACACAACAGGTATAACTGCTCCTGTTGAGCCCTCCCTCGAGATGGCAAAATCATGATCTGCTTTAGCCAGATGTACTCTACTAGCCTCCCCCTGACAACGCCTTCAGTCCCCTCCACAGTACAAAGGTCCCCATGTCCTGGCTGGTGATGGCTGGCCTCAAAGTACTCTGACACTTCTGTTGAGTGGCCTCCGCTTTGGTGACAACTTTGAATATATAGTAACCTCTTGGACTATATTCACCCTTCCCAGGTGTCTCCCTGCATTCTTTTTTTTTTTTTTTTTAAATATATTTTATTGATTTTTTACAAAGAGGAAGGAAGAGAGATAGAGAGCTAGAAACATCGATGAGAGAGAAACATCGACCAGCTGCCTCTTGCACACCCCTACTGGGGATGTGCCCACAACCAAGGTACATGCCCTTGACCGGAATCGAACCCGGGACCTTTCAGTCCGCAGACCAACGCTCTACCACTGAGCCAAACCGGTTTCGGCTCTCCCTGCATTCTTGTCATTTATAATTGAAGAAGAAATAAAGATTTCCCAAACAGGAAAAAACTAAAGGAGTTCATCACCACCAAATCAGTATTATAAAAATAAAGAGGCTCCTTGAAGAATAAGGGAACCCCAGTGGTGTGGTTCAGTTGGCAGGGTATTATCCTGTGCACCGAAAGGTGGATGGTTTGATTCCCAGTCAGGGTTCATGCCCAGGTATGGGCTCAGTCTCTGTTAGGGGGCACAGAGGAAGCAATCAATTGATGTTTCACTCTCACATCAATGTTTCTCTCTCTCTCCCTTCCATTCTTTCTAAGAAATCAAGAAAAAATATTTTAAGAAATAAGGGGAGGGGATCTTAATATAAATAACAAGATTGTAATAACTATGTACCTATGAATACTTTAAATGTAAATGAATAAAATGATCTAATCAAAAGATAAAAGGTATCTGAATAAGAAAACACGACCCATACATATACTGTCTACAAAGACCTACATCAGATCAAAAGACACAAACTGCCTCAAGGCAAAGAAAAAGAAAATTATTGGGGTAGCAATAATTATAAAAAAAAAAAAGCAGACTTTAAAAGAAATAGAGATAAAGAAATTACATAATAATAAAGGTGTAAATGCAAAAAAAGGATATAATCCTTGCAAACATTTATGCGCCCAACATAGGAACACCTATATAAAAGCAAATATTGATGTACATAAAGAGAGAGGGTCACAGTATACCATTACAGTAGGTCACTTGAACACTCCATAGACATCAACGGAGAGATCCAGACAGAAACTCAACAAGGAAACAGTGGTCTTAAAGAACATATATTCCAGGCAAATTTATTTCAGATTTTTATGCCATAATTTTTTACCCATGATCTCAAATGCCAGTGCAATCCTTACCTGAAAGTGTCTTTTGGTAAGAAACACACTGATGTCTCCACAAGGAAATGGCAGATCTTTCTCGATTCTGCAGTCCACTGAGTCTTTCTGCTAGCCCGCCTCTGTTTAATGAATTATAATATATTAAGTTTACCTAAAATAAAAGCTTCAGAATTGTTACAACATCTACATATTTTACCCTCCAAAAGGAGACAAATAGATAAAACAGTCAAGTTTTAACTTATTTGACATTACATTCTTTTCCTCCTAGGTCAGTAACCCACTTCTTAAAGATTCCTTGGAAGCTCAGTTTTCTGATTCATAGAAATATGTGCTATTCTCAGATCAGTTTGACTTCCTTTCCTTCTTTCTTAGTTTACTTATTCCGTAAATATGTACCGATTAGTCCTGTTCTACATAGCAAAGTGCTAGGTGCAAGGGATACAAAAAAAATCAATGAGCTATGCCAATGAGCTATGCCAATGGGTAGAGAGGGACTTATTATCTGTTCAGCCAACAGTGAGAAATAGTTAAATGTAAAGTTGGTTCAGAATTGTAGTCAATAATAAAACCTGATAGGTAGAATAGTTTCTGTAAGAGAATTTAGGTGTGGGCTCATTATTTGTCCAAAAGAGATAATTGAATATTAACCACAAACACATAGCAAGAATACCAACATCTCAAAAACAGGAAAGTTTTCATGTATTTCAGGGAGATGACTGGTAACAATGAACATACAGGCACTTCACAAAAGCCCTTACCTATCAATTAATACTATATATACATTAATATATTTTTAAATACATATAAGCATATTTACATATATATTTTTGATTTAGAGAAATCAGCAGTTATTAACACAGCTATGACCTCAAGACAAATCAAGATTACTATTATGACTTCATGCAACATAATCTATCAGTGTTTTGTCTGATTATGAACCAGTTCACCAATTTGGTGACCATCTCACTAAATTATCTTATTTTAAGGTAAAAAGAACAGATATTAATATCTACCTCATACATGATATATCAGAGTTGAAAGAGAAGATAATGAAATTCACCAATATTACAGAACTAGCCAGATAAGTAAATAGTTGTTGAAACCAGAAAGAACTTAACACTCTATACTCTTTCTACAATAATTTACATATCACTTTTAATATATTATATATATACATATATATATATATTATCATTACTACCTACTTTGTTTTCCCATAGGCACTTGTTTTTCTATAAGCACCAGTTATTTCTGAATGTGTGTTAAATTTTTAAAAAATTCGCATACAAACATACCAAAGAACCTCTACTTTACATATGTCTACCTCTACATAATATATGTAAACTCTTCACATATAATTCTGTTTATGTGAAGTAACTCATGTATACTCCTGCTTTAAACAACACTAGAAAAGTATGGAGTACCTCATTCTACAAATGATAACCTGGGGCACTGGGTATTAAACACCAGCACGAGGTGAGGCATTTGATGTGCAGCTATATGCACAAATAGGCAGACTGACTCTAGAGTTCACAAACTTATCCTTGATACACCTACTCTTTCAAAAAGAACTACTTAAAAAGATGATCTTAATATCATAAGCAAAAGACAAAAACAAAATATTGTATTCTTTGCACAATGGTCTAGATCAGGCATCTTCAAACTACGGCCCTCGGGCCACATGGGGCCCGCAGAGGAGTCTGATCCGGCCCGCCAGATGTTTTGGGCAGTGAGCGCAGCCGAGGTGTTACAGTAGGAATTAGTAGTTCATATAGTCCGGCCCTCCAGCTCTCTGAGGGACCGTGATCTGGCCCCCACTTTAAAAAGTTTGAGGACGCCTGGTCTAGATTATTATTTTTCAAATGTTTTTCCCCCCCAAACCAATGACTTAAGAGATAAGAAGACAAAATACAATCTGAAAGGATATGGTTAAAGTCATTCATACATGATATATGAACTCATATATATATCATGTACGAATAAACTGTAGGAGCTATAGGGCAAAGGTAAAAAAAAAAAAAAGAACAGTTCTCTACATGTGGAAGTATCTGGAGTGCTAAGAGAATCAGAATTTACAATTGGTTTTAGTCGTTTAGTCGTTAGAGGTTACACTGGTGCCTCACACAATACCTCTGCTCCAATCTGTCTAGAGAATTCCTGCAGAAAATTCCGATCAGATGCACCAGAACTTAAGAATGTAAACACTATGGTTTATTTCTAAGCAACAATCATCATGCTAATAAAAATCTCCTAGGATGCCGGGACTGGTTTGGCTCAGTGGATAGAGCGTTGGCCTGTGGACTAAAAGGTTCTGGGTTCGATTCTGGTCAAGGGCATGTACCTTGGTTGCGGGCACATCCCCAGTGGGGGGTGTGCAAGAGGCAGCTGGTCGATGTTTCTCTCTCATCGACGTTTCTAACTCTCTGTCCCTCTCAATTCCTCTCTGTGTAAAATCAATAAAATATATTAAAAAATCTCCTAGCATTAAAAAAAAAAAGTCAGGAGATCCAAGACAGCAGCAGACCAAGTGGATGTTACACTCACTTCTTCCCAAGCCAACACGGAATTACAAATAAAATATACAACAGTCAACCTGAATAACCAACTGAAGACCAGCTGAATAGAAGTCTTAGAACTAAGGATTTACAGAAGAATTTCTACCACAATGAGGCTGGAAGAAAGGGCAGATATATGAAAAGGGCTGGCCCCGCTCCCACAGGCGCGGCTGAGATTCTGGAGGGCTATGACCGTTGCAAAGGTTCTCCCCGGGGTCTCAACATGCTCCACATGCCAAGCTCCACAGCCCACTGCACCAGACACTTGGCTGTGGAAGTCAGTGATTCTGCCTGCCAAAAAGAGTCAGGAGTCTGCAGAAGACATAGGCACCCCCTAAAGGGCCAACGCACAAAATCTCATTCACAGGCACTCACCCTGGGCTCTGGAGGAGGCAGGGTGGGACAGACTGGAGCTGTGTGAGCAGGCACTGGGGTTGGTGGCTCTGGGGAGAGAAGTGAGGACAGCAGCCAAGAACTCTGTGCTGAGTCATTCTCACACCACAGACCCCATTTATCTTGGGTGAAGCCCTCCTCTCTGTGGGGCATCTCCTGGGAAAGGAACAACCAGACCATCTAAACTCCACCACCCCAAGCTGCAAAGCTCATGTCCTGCTGAGGAGTCAGCAGGCAGGGCCTGGGTATAGAGATCTGGACAGACTCGGAGGGTATCAGTAACTGAGTGGTGTGGCTTTGGGACAGAGGTCATTCACTCCACTTAACCCTGAATCTGACTGGCGACTACCTCTCATGGGAGATCCTACAGTCCCACGTTCTGGGCTCCAGGTGCACTGACTAGGTCTGGGCAGAAGCTCGGACAGACTGAGTTGTGTGGTTCTGGGGAGGGGGCCAGTTCTCCTTCCTTCCCTCAGGCCTGATCTGCACTTCCCCATCATGGGAGATCCACCAGCCTCACCCTTCTGACTCTGGGCAGCCTTGCCCTGTTGAGCTCAAGCTCCTGGCAGAATCTTGCACAGATTAAGTTGTGTTGCTCTAGGTTAGGGGGCCATGTTTCCCACACATGCCCAACTAGCACAGAGCCCTCCATTCATGCAGCCAAATCTTGGTCTGTTTTGGCCTGATAAACTCTGCAAGCCTCACTCTGACAACACCCTGAGACCGCTGCCCCACCACAAGGTTCAGCGGACACCATGCAGGTGGAAACCAGATATATATCTGGGACATTTGCTGAATGGTCTCGGACCTAGCATGGACACTGAGATCTATGAACTCATTCAACTCCAGCAACACCAGAGGGTCTTTCAGTGCCTGACCCAGCTGTCCAGTGGAAGCAGATGCCAGCGTGCCTTATGACTTTTGCTGACCTGTCCCTGGGCCAAGTGCTGCTAAAAGCAGTTTGCACACCCAGACACAGCAGAGACCATAATCCACAAACTGTGGGGTTACTCTGTAGCTCCAAACAGGTTCCCAGGGCCAGTCACAGACAGCGTCTGAAGCTGGCCTGCATCAGAGTACCTATCAAGGGGTCCAAGGATCAGCAAACCCAGTAGCCAGCTTCAAACAAGGTCAGAGCAGGACCCAACTGACTTCACAAGCAGCATAACCAAGAAAGATCTTGGCAGACACGAGACCCTGCTGAGGTGAATTCTGCTTCGTGTGGTCAGCACCTACAAAACAGCTCGTACACTGCAGTCAGCAACCTGAGAGCCAACCCATAAAACTGGCCAATAGCAATCAAGACTCAATTACAACAGAAGGACCCACATAATGCACACAAGAGACATTCCTTGAGCACTCATTTCAAAGCATCAAGAAGACTGCCAGTGGGTCCCAGCGTAATCTACTATATAAGGCTACCCTATGAAGAGTGAGAGCCATAGCAGATCTACATAATGCATAGAAACAAACATAATCAGCAACCAAAATAGGGAGACAAAGAAACATGCCCCAATGAAAAGAACAGGGGAATTCTAAAGAAAAAGAGCTAATAAAATGGAAGCAAGGAATTTATCAGATATGGAGTTTTAAAAAATGGTTATAATGATATACAAGGAAATTACCATGTTTCCCTGAAAATAAGACATCCTCCGAAAATGAGACCTACTTACAGGTTTCCTTCTGAATGAAATATAAGGCATCCCCCGAAAATAAGGCCCCCTAGGCTAAACATAAGAGATTTGGTCCACTGATTCTGAAAGAAATGGAGCCACAAGAAATTCACCAGGAAATTCAGGAATTGGATTGTTATGATGATGTTCCAGAAGATGATGACATGATTGTCACTGAATAAATGAGTAAATTCTTGATACTGTAGGATTCACAGTTTGTCTGGTTTGTGTTGACAACTACCATATTACTGTACCGTATACAGGTAATAAATTTCCTTTATTTTCATTTAACAGTAAATGTGTACCATATTCTTCTTCATTGAAAAATAAGACATCCCCTGAAAATAAGACCTAGTGCATCTTTGGGAGCAAAAATTAATATAAGACACTGTCTTATTTTCAGGGAAACAGGGTAGTAAAAGTTCAACATAGAGATAGCAAGCATAAAAAAGGACGTGGAAACCACAAAAATGAACCAATCAGAAATGAAGAATACAA